TGGTGCAGGCACGAAACACACAATCAATAGAAATACATTGCTTTTAAAATAAATCGTTCTGTGTGACACAAAACAAAGGGGAAAATCCTGTTGGTGAACACGAATCAATAGATTAAATGTCGTGACTATAACACGAAATGCCGTGAGACTGGGTTGGACCACAGCATGTCGGACAGACAGCTTAATGTAGCTCATCAGATGGTTAAATATCACATTGAACATATGGACTGCTGGTAGCTAGTTTTGTATTTTGAGAAAACATGTTTAGATTCCAATCAAAATGTTACATAAGTAAAAGTTCATATTATGGGCATCTTGCTGCGTAACAGCAACTTAACAACAATCATAAATGATTTCATGTCAAAAATAAAGAAACATGCTGTTATAACAGCAGGAGCCAGCAGGTATCAGTTATTCAAAATGTTTGATACATTTTTACACTGACATTATTGATTGTACCCCGGCATTTTCTGAAAGAGCAGCCTGAGTGTTAGCAGCTGTGTTTGATGCCCAGAAATAACTGAATTCATAAAAAATACAAAAGTTTTACCTCAAACAACCTATATGCATTTATTTTCTGATATGTCAAACTTTTAAGGTCATGAATTTCCCAATTTGGGATCAATAAAGTATCTATCTATCTATCTATCTATCTATGAACAGAAACAAATATTTCATAAATGATAATATCCACAAAGAGAGAAACATTGACGACTCAAAACATGATCAAATAATGATTCTGAAGTGTACAGCACCTTTACTCTTTTACAATCACTTTTTCTTTCTAACCCAAAGTGCTTCTGCTTTGCTTTTTTAATTAAAATAAAAGTAGCCATGACCTGAGCAGCTGCAAAAAGTGGAATACATTTCCTCTGGCAGTGATTTATATGGCCTGGGCCTGGGGCAGCTGAAGCTGGTGTTGGCCGGAGGAGAAGCCCCTGCTGCCAGAGTGAAGCCCCCCACCCAGGAGCTGTGTCAGTACTACACTGAAACTGTTTTATAACAGTCTGTAATTCTTTTGCCGAGCTACACAGGGCGGGTCATGCCAAGAACAGCAGTTGGAAGCAGTTGGCTTTCACTCAAAGGATGAAGAGAGTCTGTCTTCTTGACTATTATGAACACTGAGTTTTTTGGGATATGTTGAGATTCAATATTCAATATGTTCCGACTTCCAACAGCTGAATAGAGGTGCTGAAATAGGCCGCATGCATGCACATGTATTAATCTACCAGAATGTGGATTGACTCAAAAAAGCGTCGCTCCATATCGCTTGTCAAGAACTCCACAAATTCAATAAGGTCAGGCAAATCTAACTTTTAAAATAATATAGGGATGCACGATATTGGTTTTTTGAAACCGATACCGATACCGATAACTTCCTGCTTCTCAAGACCGATACCGATACCGATAACCGATAATAATATAATATATATATATATATTAAATGTACCTGTAGTTTTTGCACACCTGGTGGTAAAAAAAAGACTAGTAGTGAGCAAATGACATGAGCATTACTACTATGAACAAAACAAAGCCAAGAACAGTTTTGACTCTCGTCAAGCGCCATCATTTCTATGATGAAGTTAGAGATCGTTTTAGCCCTGGGGTCGTCTCTGGCAAACTTCTTGCCTTTTTCAAAAGCCTCGTCGATAGGTAAAAGCCCCGGTGCCTTTGCAGCTGGCTTTGGATTCGCCGCTAGTTTAGCAGCGCAGGCGTCTTCGTACACTTTTAACACACCATCGTAGTGATGGCGATGTTTCAGGTGACAAATCAGGTTGGAAGTATTATAGCCCGTTGCCTTTTTCCCTCCTCGTGGAACTTCTGCATTGCATTTGTTAATACAAATAGCAAGCGAACTATGTAACTCTGAAACTTTGAAATAGTCCCATACTACCGGCGACATGTTTGTTTACTGTCCTGGCTTCACGGCCGCACACCATTTACGTCACAGCCAGGCATGAGTTAGGGAGCGCTGGATTTGTGAAAAACTCCCCTCTTCCTAAACCACTCATACCACAGTACTGGCAAAACGGGAGGAGCCGAGTGAAAAACAAGCGCCCCTCATCCCAATCCACCCACACCGCAGTATTTTTTTATTTTCTTTTACCCAAAAAATATATTGTATATTATCGGGGCTATTAATACTGTTATCGGGTTTATCGGGATGACGTCATAATTCCTAATATCGGACCGATAATTATCGTGCACCACTAAAAATAAACCTTCGTCAGAGATTGAACATGAGCTGTTCACATACTAGACCATCGCATAGAACTCTACATTTATTCATTTGTGTCAATCGGCGCATTCACAACGCAGTACTTTTCCCACAAAGGTTCATGAGAACTTAGTTCATGAGAACTCTTTTGTCGCGTTCACACCAAAAAGAGCCGGTACTAAAATTAGTTCATGAGAACCTTTTTACCCCCTTTTCAGTCCCTGCTAGAGAGCAGGGACTTTCGTGGGAGAAAAAGGTTCCTATGTCTGATTGGCTGGGCGGATTGCAAACCACGCCCCGTAAAACTCCCAAAAGGTTTTGTGAAGCCGCCATTTTATTATCCTCGCATTAGCATTATTAGCATTAGCATTAGCCCAGCGCAGAAACGCAGAGAGACTAATTTATGGCAACACAAAATAAAACATGGGAGCGGTAGAGATGAGGAGGTGTCGGCGTTCTGGCGATTTACTCGGAAGGCTTCAGTAGAAGCTGCTGGGAGTCCCAGCAGCTTCTACTGAAGCCAGTCCCCAACTCCGGGGACTTCCGGCCGGGGACTTTGGGCGGCAGTATATGCCGTGAAGTGGTTTGCGGCCTGCCAGTAAACCCAAAGCAGAAGAAGTGACGTCAGCGGCTTAATTTGCCTAAAACTAAAGAGTTCTCATGAACTAAGTTCTCATGAACCTTTGTGGGAAAAGTACTGCGGTGTGAATGCGCCTATTAAGATATTTTAGGACATTACATTTCCTGGCCTCTGCAGACCAGTCCAATAAGTGCACTAATGTGTTGTGACCATAGACTGTATATATAAATGGACGTAGTGTCCGTGACGTCACCCATAGGATTCTGCAGAGTTGCCGTGAAGCCCTTAGTAGGCGGAGTCGGCCACTAACGGCTTGACAGCAACGTCAGAGTCTAATCCCGCCTGCTCCAAATAAGGGCAAAGAGGCGGGACCTGCTGCCTCTGAACTGGAAGTAAACAGAGCTAGCTCAGGCTAAGAAGCTAAGCTAACATGAAATACATGCATACCAAGTTACTGCTAACAGTGTAGTTCCCCTATATAAACGTTACATTCATAATAAAATGAGACAATCTGCAAGAGAATTAGCTATATTTTGTTATTCTTAATGCTGGTCATTCACACGTTAAGAAAATAAGTACCGATTTATAGCAGAACAATTGTGGCGATGTTCAGCTTAATAAGCCTCGTTCAACATAATTTATTTAGCTAATACTACAGCAGGCGAACCAAGTCTGCGTTTCGCTGCATTCCTTGATCTCCAGTTATAACGACGGACTCCACCGCCCGGACCTAACGGAGCCGCAGTGGGCTAGCTCCGGGACACCGGCTGGAGCTAGCCCCCTGCGGCTCCGTTAGCTCCGGCGGCCACCACTGGGATAATTGGGTCCCCTATTAACATTTGCTCCCGTTTAGCATTATGGGCGTCATAGCCATAGACTATAACAGTCTTACCCAAGGCTGAATCATAAACTAAAATGTATAAGTATGCATAAAGGGTTACGTCCTTAGCTGGCTAATAAGTAACAAGCTAAGCTACCAAGCACACAAACACCTGCGAACGGGGTAAACATGTATAATATTATCATTTTAGACTTCTTAGAATTTCTGTTAGTACATTCAAGCACACAGCACGACATTTTAATTGTCTGGTATTTGTAACAATATTCCCTAAAAGGCACAATCAGCACGAACACGGCTAAAGCTAAAGGGTCAAGTACAGTACTATGACTAACTAACGTTGTAGCTAGCCTCTATGGTTGTAGCCTAGCAGAGTGGACAAGTTGCTGTTAGCTGACATTGAGGCATGTACGTGTCCATCAAAGTGACCACGCCCTAATTGATGCAACAACTTTAAGACCTAATATAAATAAAAGGGTCGCGTTAGAAAACAATTCACTCACAGATCCATAATCATGAAGGTGGAATCTAACTATATCGATAATAAAAATGTATGGAGCCAGGGGTAGAAACATGTTTTTTTCTGCTGTAAAGTTGGGCATTTTAACATGGGGGTCTATGGAAATTGCTCCTTTCTGCAGCCATCGCCTATCGGCCAATATATGAACTGCAGTGTGTGGCACTTCCGTATTGGCGTCCCGGCTCTTCCCCAGAGTTTGCCGCTTGGTTGTGACAGAGTGATATCTGTCTATTTCCTGGAGGAAATAAATAAGTTCCCGAGTGTGATTATTACCGGAGATAACTTTCGATGTAGGGTCAAAAACTGCGTTTTTGCCTCTCGGGTTGAAAAGTCATCCATATTGAATCATCTTATCTGTGAAATTGAATTGTTTTGTTAGGGATTCTCACCATTTAAACTTGTATAATCCTGAAATAGTGTAAGCTGTTCTGCTCTTCCCTAAAGAGTCTGAGTTCTAGCAAAAGCCTGGTCTGAGTCGCTCCTCTTTTCAGCATCACTTCCAAATCTCATTCTGAACAATGAAGGTCAAACTATAACTTTGGTTTTTAAAGCTTCTCTCTTGAATTATGTCTCCTGGCCGGCCTGCCAAAGCCACTTAAGGACACACAATTCCCTGCTGGAAAGCTTCCAGATCTCCTATCATGATATCTACAGAAAGATATTGAACAAAAGCTTTGGCAGAGGCCTGTGTGTTGATGGAAATTGTTCTCAGCCTGTAAAGCGTAAACACTGGCCTCATAAATAATAAAACAAATTCCGTGTGTGTGTTGGTGTGTGTAAAAGAGCATGAAAAAGAAGAAGCAGCTCAGTTTAGTCTTTGAAAGGTCCTGCTGTGTGTGTGCAGAGACGCTGCGGCTGGCGGTCATCATCGGGGTGGGGGTGGGGGCCTTCCTCGCCCTCTCCATCCTCCTGGGGACCCTCGGCGCCTACTGCTGCACCCGATTCCAGCGGAGTGAGTTCCCCTCAGACAAACACATGAAAAACACAGTGTTTGTTTTCTGTGATAGTGGTTTTTTAAATGGTGGCAATGAATCCTGATCATGATATGTTTTACCTTGTCAGTGAGTCCACTTCATTGTCAATTTCTCTGTTTGTGTGATACAAAAAGGAGACCGAAATGCTGTCTCTCACCGTCCCAAAGAATAATAATATATACAGACATGTATACACCTGTACACCCACCTATATTATTTTCATATACACATACATACTCATGCATAGACACATTTAGGGCTGTCAAACGATTAACATTTTTAATCAGATTAATCACAGTTTAAAAATTAATTAATCATGATTAATCACCATTCGAACTATGTCCAAAATATGCCATTTATTTATATTGTTGTGGGAATGGAAAGATAAATGAAAGAAGGCGGATATATCCATTTAACATACAGTATCTATGTTTATTATAAAAAAATTCTGCGTGTCAAAATGAAAGACAACCCACGCACCTATCAATCATCAAACCGTGGGGTCTTATTTCATTACGTGTTGATTTATATCAACGGGGAGTACTTCAGGAAAGTCGACAGGGGGGAGGCTAGTGGAGTACTTCGTGACCACAGAGTGTGAACGTTGTGATCAGCTGTTTTAGCGCAGTTCTCCAGTGAAGGGGGGAGTCTCCCTCCGCAGCCGGTTGGCGTAGTTTTGGCACAATTCCGTTGTACAGACCGACGTTAACAGCAACCCTGTCTGTGCACACGGAGACCGACTCTGTCGTCCGGTGATCTAACTATGGAGTCAGATTTGGGTCAATATTCTAGCGCGCAAAACAAGCTACTCACGAGCGGAAAATGTGCTTTTACATGCGCATGAAATTACCCTCGCGCGCAGATTAAACCCTTGCGCAAGCGAGTGAGGCTGACACTCCCGCGAGCGAGCGCATAGCCGCTCGCTCGCGGGAGTGTCAGCCTCACTCGCTCGCGGAGTCTGTCTACGCACGCGTGAAACGTTTCTGGCACTTTGGGGCGAAGCCACTGGACTTTGATTGACAGCTGCCAGGAAGCCCGGAGTTGCCAGGTTTGATAAATGCCTGAACTACCAAGAGCCGAGGAGTGACAGCTGCAAGATCAGTTGGACGAGATTGAATGGTAAAGTTGTCCATAAAAAACTATTATATTCGTAAAGTGTACAGCGTAGTGTTAATTTTATATAAAACAATATATTTTTGAGTGGAAAATTGCTAGCTACTGTATGCTGTATGCACCTCCCTTACGAAATGAACTATAAATGAATTATAGTATTACTATAGTATACTATAAGAGTTGTAGTGTCCTTTAGTAAGTTTGTAGTGTTCTGTAGTATTTTTCACCAGCTATTGTATTACAATAGTTTTTTCTGTAGTGCCATTTTATTAGCTATAGTAGCCCTATAATATTTCAATAGTAATACTATGTATCTAGATCTTTGTAGTATTCCTATATTATTTTAAATAGTATAACTATAGTATAATATATAGTGTTTCTGTAGTTGTTTTTTAAACACACTATAGAACACTCCTAATAGCATGATATTGTCATAGTGAATGCATTTTATTACTATAGTGTTTGTAAAAGTATTACTATAGTGTTTTTGTTGGTGTTTCCGTATTAAGACTATATTATTTTAAATAGTACTACTATAGTATAATATATAGTGTTTCTGTAGTTGTTTTTTGAACACACTATAGAACACTCCTATAGTAATAGTATGACGTTGTCATAATGAATGCATATTATTACTATAGTGTTTGTAAAAGTATTGCACTCCTAGAATTAATGTGTCATTTTTTTTATATCAAATTAATTTATATATATATATATATATATATATTAGCTGTACACTTTACGAATATAATAGTTTTTTATGGACAACTTTGCCAATCAATCTCGTCCAACTGATCTTGCAGCTGTCACTCCTCGGCTCTTGGTAGTTCAGGCATTTATCAAACCTGGCAACTCCGGGCTTCCTGGCAGCTGTCAATCAAAGTTCAGTGGCTCCGCCCCAATGTATCAGAAACTTTTCACGCGCGCGTAGACAGACTCTCGCGAGCGAGCGCATAGCCTCTCGCGAGCGAGCGCATAGCCGCTCGCGGGGGTTTAATCTGCGCGCGAGGGTCATTTCATGCACGTGTAAAAGCACATTTTACGCTCGTGAGTAGCTTGTTTTGTGCGCTAGAATATTGACCCAAATCTGACTCCATACTAACCGCCTTCTGGAAAAGCTTCACAAGTACGTCGGTACGCAAATGCGCTTTGTGACACAAGTGACGGTACGCATTTCAGATTACGCACATAACCTGCGTACCAGTTATGTGCACCGCTGTACTACAGCAAAAGTATTCTCCGTCGGGACTTCCTGCAACAACACCACGCCGTTATCAAAGATGTTCTATTGAGAAGGCGATCACTACGTGACAAAAGTTTTCAAAACCGTGGCTACTGAAATCAATCTTACTAACTGCTGTCTGTGCAATTTACTCCGCGAGTTGGCAGACTTTATTTTGCTTACTTTAACATAATTTTTCATGGTGGGGCTAAGCCATTTCTTGGTATGGGTGTAGCCTACCCCAGCCATACCCTGGCGCTGCCACTGGTGGCACGTATGGGGCGGGCCATTCTGCACATGCGTTAAATATTTTAACGCAATTAATTCAAAAAATTAATTACCGCCGTTAACGCGATAATTTTGACAGCACTAATTTATACAGAAACACATTAAGACATTGTACCACTTCGTGTTGCTTGATTCAAAGTTAACAAGTTTTTTTCAACACAAGCTGAAGAGATTTTGAGTTTTGTTCTGTGACATAAAATCTGACAGCAAACACTCCACTGATAACAGTCTGAAGCTTTCATGTGTCTTAAATCAACGGCTGCTAACAACTGACTGAATCAGACAAACATTATCCGCCTCTTGCTCAGCTTTAGTGATACACTGCCAAAAAGTTACTATAATGTAGTTTTAGTATGGCCTAACATCAGCGTTTTACTTGCTGATTGCATTTACGCTTTAAAACATCCTTAAGTGGTGTTAAAGTGTATAGATCATCCTGCTTAACAAACGGTCTAAGTATCATAAACGTGTTTTTCCACAGATCTTATTTTCTGCATTATTACAAACGATTCCATTGCTGTTTGGCATGGGAGCTCCCTGTATTAGGTCCAATCTCTATAACATCATTGTTGCACCACTCTATGGTTTACAGTGTCACAGAGAAATATCTGCTAGCCTTAGCTGATGTTAAACATGTACATTCCTTCTGTTCAGTTTCCTTGATTTGGGTTCGTGCCCAAGTTGACCTCCAGCTCTGTTTCTGCTCACAGCCCTTAGAGGGTCATTCTGGTCTTATTCTAAAGATATTTGACTTTCCCTCTGTTTACATCTCCTTCACTGCAGGAGTTCATGAATTCCTGCCCCACATTATGACTGCTAGTCCTTCCAGAGCTTGGTGGCCTGTAGCTCTGTCACTGGAACATCAGAGGGAACAGAGCTTTGAGATGTGTCTGCTAACTCCTCTGTTTGTTTCTGTCTACAGAGGATGTCCATCTGGTCATGTCTTCTCTTCCCGTGTCTCTTTCGCGCCAGAGGGATGTGAAACCAGAGAGTAAGGCCTTTGTTACAGAGTGTGAGAATGATTCAATGTTTGCAGTGACTGCAGAGGCTTGTTGAGGCTTTTTTGCCAACTGTATTTAATAGTATTCTAAATAATTCAAATGTTACCCTCAAGTAATGCAAATAAATGATATAAGCCTTAGCAGAGATAGTCCTTCTCTGGGTCACAACATATTTCCAATGCATACTAAAGAATAAGCCCTTATGACAAATATCTAAATTTAACATGAGATTCCCCCATCACTCAGTGAGAATCAGCTTCAGGCTCTGAACACGTTTTCTTGATAAGCAGAGGCGGTAGAAATCAGACAGCATAGTGGAACCTGCTGTCAGTGTTTCAATATGAATAGGAAAATGATATTATAACCCTTGACAGTTATAACTTTAACGTTGGCAAAAGACTATGTTCATATTGTGATGTCAAGTGAAGTACGAATGCATGTGAAGGTTTTAAAGAACTCTGTGTGTCTCAATTCACATTTGGTTTGATCACACTTTTATGCAAAATGTCCCGCATACAGCTGGGAGGTCAGATTTAGGAATAATATTAGTCGTTTGACTTTAGGTGAATACAGCTCTGTAAAGCAATTTTAAAGGGACAAGTTCATTTGATCATATCTAGCCCTCAATAAACAATAATATTACGTTTAAATATTAGGTTCAACTTAATATTATTTCTTTCAACTAACCTAAAACAGTTATTGGAAATGTGTTAACATAATACATTTAATTAAAGTAAACGTTTCAGTTTTTTCAGAGCTGTACTATCATGAGGCCAATACGGAGACAATCAGTTGTTATTATTTGTGTCTCTTAGTTAAATGAATGGGAATTAATCTGTGTTGATTAGTTGAATGAATATATTTCCTGTCATGTCTCTTTGTTAAATGTAATTCATAATTAGGCAGCAGCAGCTTCTCTTGGAGGCCTCAGGCAATGTATTTGTTGGTCTGTATTGCATAATTAAAACAATAATGATGGCACTTGTGAAGTACTTGATATCTAGTTACAGGAGTAATGTGTGGGCAGTCTGTTATTACAGTTGCTAAAGAGCCTCTTGTTCTTTGTTCAGTGATAACAGCAGGCTTTACACAAACCTGCCTTAGTAACAAGCTGGCCAATCAAATTCACCTGATTCCACCAACCAAGGTAACTACTGACCAATAGTGGAGGCCTTTTTCTAGAATTGACGTCTGTTGCGAAAAACAATAACTCTATTATATTACTATCAGTGGTGTAGTGGGGATTTTTTTACTGGGGGGACGCTATTTTAATTAGGTCATCCCAAACAATGCCACACAAGTGCGCACGCGCGCAGTGCACTCGCAAAACGGGCAGACAAGTCCACAGAAACTACCGGTATGCTTAGTCCTACTCTAGTTACTGTACTGCAAAAAGCAGACGGCGGTGCGCTCAACACACACACAGACTCAAAACCATGGACACACTGGCACATAAGTTACATAAACAATGTATAGGCCTAAATTGCATAAGCTACAGTATTGCAACTAAGCAGACAGCGCTGCTTCTCTCTCTATCTCCACTTTCAAAATCTATTTAAAACTCATAACAAACAAACACAATTCCCAAAGTTGTCCTGAAATTAACTTATTAAATAAACGAAACGAAAAATATAGCCTACTTATGCCAACAACATTGAATCTGGACTTGAAATGATTCTGATTAGGCCTAGCCTACATTGCAAATAAGCAGACAGCGCGACTGCACACACACACACACACACACACACACACACACACACACACACACACACACACACACACACACACACACACACACACACACACACACCATAAAGAAACAGTGTTACTCACAGTTGTTGAAGTCAGTCAGAGGAAACACCACAGTGGGTCTGGATCCTTGCGAGATTCGGCTACAGCCTGTCGTGATCTCTTGTCTTCAGCTGAGCAATGTCGTCTCAGCCAAGTTGACACATATCCTGTCGGATCCCACTGGGTTAGAGGTGGACCATGTAGCTTGATGAACATCAAGGTGGATACCCGTTCAATCAGCAACCTGTTTTGCGTTGGGGTGATGATCAGATTCATCTGGCTGAATCCCCTTTCACATTATGCCGTGCTGCATGGTATGAGTCTAGTGCAGTTCATCAAGGGCCTGAGCTCGGCAGGTGTAGCATCGTCCACAGTGCTCTCGACAAAGTCTCGGAATGTATTTATTACACTTACAGTCGGCAGCCTGAATCATTGGCACAGTTCACTCACTTGCACCTCTCCATAGCTCAGGTCTGAGCTGGTGGCCAGTTGTCGCGTTCCAGGACTTTTAGTTGAGCGAGCAAGTGAACATAGTCTGAGTCCGACTGGGACTGCGAGGCTGCTCCACGAGATGATGCAGTAGTGAACATTCTATGGCTAAGGTTGTTGCTTAGACTCCGAATAAATTGTTGACGATTGATGGTGACGATTTTGGAGTTGTCTGTGAGCACAACTGTGCCCAGTCTGCCTTCTGATATGGCATTTTCAGCTGCAAGGACCTTGGTCCCAGGTCGCTCCCCCAGTCCATTGATAAAACGAATGCTCCGGTGGATCAGTTTGTCGGCGTAGGCTACTGATGTTGTGCGCTTTTGCAAACATTCTGACAACAGGGCTAACTCATTCAGTGTATCACACATAAGCGCTAAATCTAAAAGGAATTGCTTTGAAGTCAGCCGCTTTAACAGACCTTCATACAGCTTTCTATCGTTTGCTGATCGTTTCTCATCTGTCATCGCAAAGCTAAAGTGTGCACATAGTGACTCAAAGTTGTTCCAAACAGCGGATACTGTGCGATAAGAACTGGCCACCCATCTCGTGCTCAACACACGGCCTATTTTTCCTATTTGTTGATGCAAGTCGATGCAGTTGATGCACACTCTGCCAGTTCTCGTTGGTTTAAGGGTGATCTGCTGTATACAGTGTATCATTTGTCCATAAACGCCTGGAAATGGTTCACACTACTCACGTCAGACACCGTGTCCCCCACAGCCAGCTCCAAACGATGATTTAGGCAATGCCAGGTGACTATATTAGGGTACAGTTCAGAAAGCTGTTTGGCTACACCTGATTTTCGTCCCAACATGACACTTGATCCATCACTTGCAAATTAAATTAAATGCTTCTTCAAGTAAGCGTCATCGAAGCCATGTCCTTGGAGGCATTTCAACAAGTGCTGCATAATTGTGTCGGCTCTCTGGTCTGGAAGTTCAATCAAATCCAGAAACATAAAATGTGGTTCACAGCTCTTGTCCGTTTCACATTTGAGGTACACAATCAATGTAGTTTTACATCCCAGACTCGTTGACTCATCTATAAGAATAGAAACTTTACCTTCTATAGCTTGGATTATTTGGCATACTTTTTTACGCATCTCTGAACTTATATGTGACCCGCTCCATCGATATCAGTCGGAAGTCGCAACGGCTCATTTCAAAATAAACGTCAGAATATGAAACTTTTATTTCCAAACTCACACGATAAATACATTCTTTAAGCTTGTAAAGGGAATATGACAGGCAATCTGCTCTTCCGCAGCGCCGCCCGCCCTCCCTCCCTCCGGCTGACATTATGAATGTAAGCATAGAGTGATCATAAATTACATTACATTACATTGCATTTAGCTGACGCTTTTGTCCAAAGCGACTTACAATAAGTACATTCGACCAGGAAGACACAACCTTGAAGAAAACAGAATCATATAAGTATATCAGGTTTCATAGAGCCAAACATTTCAAGTGCTACTCAACTGGCTTTAGGTAATCCAGTCCTTTATTAGTATAAAAGTGCTTCGTTAATCGTTCTAACGCTCGAAGTGGAGTCGAAAGAGATGAGTTTTCAGTTTGCGCCGGAAGATGTGCAAGCTATCTGCCGTCCTGATGTCAATGGGGAGCTCATTCCACCATCTTGGAGCCAGGATAGCAAACCCACGTGTTTTCGCCGATGGGAACTTGGGTCCCCCTCGCAGCGAGGGCGCAACGAGTCGTTTGGCTGATGCAGAGCGTAGTGCACGCGCTGGGGTGTACGGTTTAACCATGTCCTGGATGTAGGAAGGGCCAGATCCATTCGCAGCACGGTAAGCAAGTACCAGTGTCTTGAAGTGGATTCTAGCAGTTACCGGAAGCCAGTGAAGGGAGCGGAGGAGCGGAGTGGTGTGGGAGAATTTAGGAAGGTTGAAAACCAGACGAGCCGCTGCATTCTGGATGAGCTGCAGAGGTCGGATGGCACATGCAGGTAGACCAGCCAGGAGGGAGTTGCAGTAGTCTAGGCGTGAGATGACGAGAGCCTGGACCAGAACCTGAGTCGCTTTCTGAGTCAGCTGGGGACGTATCTTCCTGATGTTGTAAAGCGTGTATCTGCAGCAGCGGGTTGTAGCAGCGATGTTTGCAGTGAAGGACAGGTTGTTATCTAGGGTCACACCCAGATTCCTTGCAGTCTGAGTCGGGGAAACAACTGAGGTGCCGATGTTGATTGTCAGGTCAAGAGTTGGACAATCTTTTCCCGGGAGGAAGAGCAGCTCAGTCTTGTCAAGGTTGAGCTTGAGGTGGTGAGCAGACATCCACTGAGAGATGTCAGCCAGACAAGCAGAGATGCGCGCGACGACCTGGGTCTCTGAGCGGGGAAAGGACAGAATTAATTGGGTGTCGTCAGCGTAGCAGTGGTAAGAAAAACCATGCGGGCTAATGACTGATCCGAGCGAGTTTGTGTACAAGGAGAAGAGGAGGGGACCAAGAACAGAGCCCTGAGGGACCCCCGTAGTTAATTGACAAGGGTCGGACTCAGACCCTCTCCAAGTCACCCTGTAGGTACGGTCTTTCAGGTATGAGGTGAGGAGGGAAAGTGCAGAGCCAGAAACTCCAAGTTTTTGGAGAGTGCGAAGGAGGATCTGATGATTCACCGTGTCGAATGCAGCAGACAGGTCCAACAGGATGATGACAGAGGAGAGGGATGCAGTTTTGGCAGTGTGCAGTTCCTCCGTGACAGCAATGAGAGCAGTTTCTGTGGAGTGACCTGCCTTGAAACCAGACTGGTGCGGATCCAGAAGGTTGTTCTGATTGAGATAACAGGAGAGTTGTTTAAAGACAGCGCGTTCAAGTGATTTAGACAGGAACGGGAGGAGAGAGACAGGCCTGTAGTTTATAACATCAGACGGGTTGAGAGTGGGTTTCTTTAGGAGAGGGTTTACTCTTGCCTCCTTGAGACTGTTTGGAAAGTGACCAGAAGTTAGAGAAGTGTTGATGAAATGGGTGAGAAACGGTAGAATATCAGGAGCGATAGTCTGAAGGAGGTTTGAAGGGATAGGGTCCAGAGGACAGGTGGTAGGGCGGGCAGAGGTAATGAGGGTAAGAACCTCACTTGGAGAGAGAGGGGAAAAGGAGGGGGGGTACGGCGTACCCCCGCGTCCAACGCCTACTACACCACTGATTACTATAAATAGTTTATAGAAGTTTAGAGAACATGTTTGAGACTCTTGTACCTTGTATAAAGCGTGCTATGAAACAGTTTAATGGATAACATGCATTCAAAGATTAAAACATGAAAGTGCACCCGAGGCAAGCTGTGTTCCTGCTCTGAAGCGTCGGTTTGAAGCTATTGTTTCCTTCTCACGTAATGTGAAATATTCACTTGCACTGCTTAGCAATGTTGTACCAAGAGAATGCTAGTTGATTAGTTTAATTAATATGAGCCATAGTACTGGGAGAACATTTGCAAAGTGAAGAACAGCCTGCACAAGCCTTTCAGTTTTTATCTTAAGACTTTCAGAGTGCCGAAAGAGAAAAAGAAGTGCAGTATCCTCCGGATGATTTTACATAAGCTTGTTGTGGCCTCTGTGAGATAAAGTAACCTCATCATAGTGACAGGCCAGAGTCAGGCATTTCATATCCATACTGCTGGGCCAGCTATAAACAGCTGCATTATTAGATTGCAGATATTGATCAGTGTCGTTCTGTGGGGTTCTGGATAACACTCGTGAGTGTTCAAGTGCTTAGTAAGCAGGGTGACGATAAAAATGTATTCTGTTACAATTATGAATGACCTGTGAGAAAAAGTAACCTAATCTAAGTAAAATAATATAAAAGGAATGTAACCTGATTACTTGCCCTTAAAATTAAATGCAATGCAAATAAAGACAAGAGAAAGGAAATATCAATAAGGTGTTTTGAACAGAACAATGTGACCTTAGAAAATAAGAAATCAATATATTTTCTTTACCAAAAATGTGTCTTTTTTAAACAACTGTGGATAGAACAAAAGCATAGCAAATACAGTATAGGTGTAAAGACACCAGAATACATTATAGGATATGCCTACAGATGTTATTTTAGTTTAATAAATGAATTCAAAGCATACATAGTACTTTTGTTCATCAAATCACGTGCACTTGAAAAAGTCCTGTGTAAGAATGAGCTTTTTCAATTTATCATACTTTATTTTAAATGTTTTAATTGTATTGTAAAATTGTGCTCCTGTTAGTTATCAGTCTTATTACAACTTTTGTAATGTAAGTTAAAAAAAAAAAAAGATTACTGATTACATAATCCTGTTACATGTATTCCGAGTGAGTGAGGGTCTCACTGCAGGCTGGGGCAGTGTGGGTACACACCACAGTCTTCATTACCCTTGTTGCAATTCAAACGCTGGTTGTGAAGCTGCCATTAGTACATATAGACGGACAGGGTAGGTTACAGAACAATGCATCAGCAGCCTCCTCCAATCAGCCGCTCCCTCTCTCCCTCTCCTCAGGTCTCAAAGGAGCGGGTAAAGTCAAAAATGACATTCGAGTGGAGATCGTCCACAAGGATCACAACGCAGCGCGGGAGAGCGAGGAACACACGAGCATCAAACAGATGATGGTGAGGGAACGCTGTGTGATGCTGCCGTTTGTCATCACTGATGTGCATTCTCTCAGGCTGGTCTACAGTATTCACAATGTATGACTACTAAAGCCTTCTTTGTTTTTACTTTAGTTTCTTTGAGTTGTGTTTGTACATTCAACAAAAAACATTGTACATGTCAAAGTAGAGAACTAAAGAACAAGAACATAAATAAAAGATATTGAAAACAAAATAAACCTCAAACTGAAACTGAGCAGCCATGGTTACAAGTTGCTGTTGTCAGGGTTGTCATATTGTATAGTCTCTTGAAAAGCATACATTAGTTTGCCTTGGACATTTTCCACTGTGTCATAAAAGCTCACTTTCTTCCATTTACTAACCCTCTCACTGCAAGTTGGTATGTCATTGTTTCCATTATATAGACCTCTTTTATAATATCCATCCACTGTTCTTTAGTATGTGGCTCAGCCTTACACCAGTTTCTTGTTTCTTACTTGTTATTAACAGTATCTTAGATAAGTAGCAATCATTATCAATCGTTATAAAATGTTGCATTCCTTGGGTATTTAATAACCCAGAATGTCTCAGATAGTAGCATGCACATTGTCCCAAAAGGTACTTAGTTTATGACATTCCCAGAAAATGTGTGTATCTGTATATATTCCCACCTTAACGCTGTTGTTGTGGCAATCCAGCACTCACAACAGGAAATAATGAAACAGAGGAATCAATAAAACACAAACACAGATATAGTTGATCAGTAATTATTATTTAGTTGTTGCAACAAACAAATAATAATGGGGAAACATTTACCTTGCTTTAACAGCAACCAATCGCAGAAATGCCCCCCAACAGTAGCAACAATCATACAGCATATATAGCCACTGTAATGAACACACACACATTTTCCCTAACCATGTTTAATTAACATTTGATCATGCAGCCTACCACACAAATGTCACATGTTTATCTTTCTGAAAGCTATACTTGTATATGTTGAAAAGTCATCATCTCATGACATCCTTAGGAGTAGTAAACTAACAAAGGTTAAGTGTTTTTATAACCTGAGGCCTTCTCTGAACTTCCTCTTACTTCGGTGTCAGCTCACTTGAAATGAACACATCTATTGATAATTCAGAACGACCATTGTCTCTCTAACTCTGTGTGACCCAACTCAGTAACACACATCATATGGCTTACTATGTGACCTTAATGAATATGCCAGAAATACGCTGTAATAAGGATTCTGCCATAACACTGTGAACCCACTAAAAATTCCTTATTATTAACTTTATTTGAACTGTGCTGCAGATTGAGCGCGGGGAATTCCAGCAGGAGCCCGTGCTGAAGCAGCTCGAGGTTCTCCAGGAGGAAGAGAAGGAGTTCCAGCACATCAAGGTGGGTGAGAATATTCAGGCAAAATGTCAACTGCAGGACATCCAGCGGGAAATGTGATGGCTGAGCTCCAGAGAGCCAATTAGCCTTTTAATTGCAGAGGCAAAGAAGAAAGCGTTCAATAAGAAGTGGCTGCACATTATGCAGCTGCATAAAAACAATGCCTGTTAGCAGAGGTGTGAAGTAACTAAGTAAATTTACTCAAGTACAATTTTGAGGTACTTGTACTTTACTATACTACTACTCCACTGCATTTATTTAACACCTTTAGCTACTTTCAACAAAATGTATCTCTAAAAATACAACTATTGGACTTACTCTTTAAGTCACAAAAGAGTCAAATGATTTAAATATTTCACAAAAAGTAAATCAGAACTGTGTTTTTCTACAACAGTGAAATGCTATTTGATGCAACAATATTATCTAGAAATATCACATGTATAAATATAATTGTCTACACACATAGAAACGACAATTTTTCTGCACAATTATTACTTTAAATGTGTATACTTTAAGGAAATGTTTTACTGATAATGCTTTTGTACTTTTCCTTAAGTTATATTTTGAATGCAGGATTTTGACAATAATGTATTGGTACTTTTACTCAAGTGAAGCACCTGAACACTTCTTCCACCACTGCCTGTTGGTGTAATGTGAAGAAGTGCATGCTAGCAGAAGTGACAGCACAACACATGCGGGGGCGTTCCAATGATTAAAGACATCTTAGTTAAATGCTGTTCACACCTTTTAATAGTCATGTACTACTTAATAGTCAACAGCACATCAATCTTAATAATCCAGAAATTAGTGTTCAAGACATAAATGTAAAGGTTAATGCATTTGACAAAGGCTTTTTTTACTTTTTTTTATAAATGCCAAGTGGTGCGTGCCTGTCCAAAAAGATCTCACAAATTCAATTTGTCCAATAGCCTGCAGGTTGCGACATACACAGGAGAGATAAACGGAGAGGAAGATAAATGGCTGCCTCTCCCTGCTGATTTTCTATTGAACCCTCTGGAAAAATTAGTAGGAAGAGATAAAGTTATTTATATCTGTATTTCTCCATTAGCTCTACAGCGGGAGCATTATGATTGAGGTCTGGTTTGATAAGGCTCGTATTACTCTCATTTAGTCAAGCATGTTCTTTCTACAGCCTCGTAGTCATTTCAAACTCAGCAGCACAGTCACATCTGAATCAGAGAAATGAGTTAGCCAGTGATGATGTTGACTGCAGCACACCGTGCTTCTCTTCCCACACACTGAAGACCAAGCCGTGACTCCTATTACTTCTTTATTTGGATATACGAAAACAAACTCCCAAAGAGTTTCGTTGCTACAAACGAACAGGATTTCAAATGAAAAAAGGAGACGCATGTGTTACGCAAGTTCAAATGCATTGGTTTACTTTGTATAGGCAGCAATGTTTTTCAGCCGTTTTTTAGCTGTGATACATTTTTTACAAAAAAGAAACCTGCTGCCGCACATCAACAACCAAAAAGGTTACACGATAACACATTGAGGCCTAAACAGTCGGTTAAGAGTTCAGCTGCTAAGTAGCTAGCTTTGAGAGCTCTCTTATACACCGTTGTGATTTTTTCATAAATGTTACCTGTTTTTTCAGTTTGTTTACCCAGGCGAACAAATAATCAGATTTGTCACCACAACGTCTCCCGCGCATCACTTAATCCCACTGTTCTAAATTAACAAGGTTGTTGTTGCGCTACCTACTGCATAATGGAAGAGTATGTAAGTACTTAGCCAGTCACAGCGTTGCAGGCAAAGAAGCTCAATATTGGCAAATTAAATAATGTTTTTGTGCACCGATTTTGTCAAATTTGACACATTTCCAACGGCACAGTGGTTGAAAATCATTGCAGTAGGTAGTATCAAATAGCTTTATTTCAAGTGTTGGCACTGGCTAATACCAAGACAGCGACATGAGATGTAAAAATAAAAGAGCTCAAGGCTTTTAAAAGCAGCCCACATTGGCCTTCTACTCAACGCTTTCTTTGCGTGTGGGCTTTTAAGAAGAGGCAAAGCATTCATTATTTGCAAGTGTGGGTAACAATAATCTTTACGAAATACAGAAAAATACCGGCACACAGTTTTGTTTTTCTTAGTTCTTTTTTTATGAAATAGTTGCATAACAATGTATGAACCACAAACGGTTGAAATGGTCAAACATGGTGTTTGTTGAATGAGCAGCTAAACATCCACCAGGGAAACAAGTGCATTGCCCTTTGATGGCTGGATAACCAATTAGCTGCTGAGCTGTGGAATGGTACCATTGACTCGTTTTGACACATTCCTTTGACAGCAGAAGGGGGTTACATTTGTTATTTGACTTTCTAACTAATAGGAAGAAATGGTGACGTGTAGAGAGCCCATGAGGGCAGCAAATGCTGAGATGCTTCATTATAGCTTTCACAACTACATTCCCACTCTCTCACATTTGCTTATGTCACACACTTTGAAATTCAATCAAGAGGTAAGCCAAGTCTTTCTGCCTACTTAATATACAATACCTTAGTCAAGTGACTACATTAAACTAATCATAATTCTTGAATGAAATGGTATACTCATTACCAGACCACTGAGTACATTTACAAACCCCTAATTTAAGGTTACTTAGTCATTTTACAAGACACAGTTGCACAATGAACTGTAAGTCGTAGCTCCTTATTGATAGACAGACATAGATCATATACATATTTCACTTAAAATACATTTTAAGTGACCTTTATTTCTGGAAGAAACAGGTGAACGGCTCTACTGTACTACACTAAAAACAAATTCTGCTTTTTTGGTCCTTGTCTGTGATCCAAATTCCAGGTGTAATCGCTCTGTTTGACGGTTTTTTCTACTCAGAGCTGCATTTTTTGATAAATGTGGAAATTACAGCTTTAAGTTAAGGGAACTCCTAAATGAGGCAGTTTTGTTTCATGTAAAAAGATGTTTCAGAGCCATGGGCCTCGACCTGGATTTTCAGCGGTATTATTCTTTTATAAGAAAATAATCTTTTGAGGCTCCTCCTCGGTACAAATCATAATGATTTTATTTTTGAGAGATAGCTCTGTTAACACCTACGTACTGTATACAGTATGCCTGCAGTCTGACTTTCTGTTTAGATTAGTTGTACACTTGTTTCTTGTAATCCTTTAAATATTTGTTGTGATGTGGATACAAAAAACTGAAACATTGACTTTAATTAAATGTAATATGTCAACAGATGTCACATAGCTGTATTAGGTTAATAATATGAAGTTTAAACGTAATATTAGACTGTATATACAGTAGCAGAGAGCAGCAGTGAGTTAATATCCACGCATGGTATTAAAAGAGAGAAACAGTAAGAGCAGTTACAAACATTCAAATGTATCAACATATCCTGAACACACGCTGCACAGAAAGATGAATAGAACAGAGAAGCAATTAACTGAATAGATAAGTCAACGGCAGGTCCTTCACACTAACGGCCCGTCTACACTACAGGCATCGAAAAATGCTTTCAACGCTTCGCCCATTCATTTGAATGGGGTGACGTAGAAGATTTTTAAACTTCGCCAAACTGCATTGTGGGGAGCATGGCTTTGCAAGCATCACGAGCATCTATCGGCATCAAAAGTTGAACAATGTTCAACTTTTGACGCCTCGACGGAGGCGTCAGCCAATGAAATCCCGTTTATGCAAATCTGCCAGTACAAGCGCTAGCCAATCAAACCGCGTGTATGCTGGGAGAGACTACGCAGGTCATTTCCTCATATTCCAAAAAATGGAGGGAAAATTCATTATAGCGGTAGTGAATCACCCGGTGCTGTATGATCAGTCTCTGTTCATCTACCGGGATACAAACCGGAGGAGCGAGGCATGGAGGGAGGTGGCAGAGACAGTGGGTGAAACTGGTAGGTTTTCGCCTGTTTGGGGATTTTATATCCAGTTTACTTCGTTTTAACATTGCTATTGCTTTGTATGCCGGGGGCGGGCGGGAGATTCCTGATTGGTTGTTGGTCGCCTTGGGCGCGAGAAATCGCCAAGCCTCAGACACGCCCAGCTTCAAGATTTGTTGATGCCTGTAGTGTAGACGGGCCGTAAGTATGTTCTCTGCTTCAATGTTAGCCTGTTTATTTATTTTGTTAATTCAACATCCCATATCATTACGGTTTGGGATTCTACTTTGATCCTCAGAGGAGAAGGTAACAGATGAGAAAAACTGTTTGTTATGTAGTCCCTTGTCTATTGTGTTTTTATACACTGAAAAAACTGAAACGTTGACTTTCATTAAATGTATTCAACAAGTTTCACATAACTGTATTAGGTTAGTTGAAAGCAATAACATAAAGTTGAACCTTATCTTTGTTATTTAAACATTATGTTATTGCTTTCAACTAATATAATATAGTTATGTGAAATATGCCGACATAATACATTTAATTCAACATTTCCGATTTTCAGTGTAGATGCACCGTGTTTTACGAAACGAAAGCCTCGATTCATTTGAAGGCAACAACAATAATGTAGGTTATTGTCCTTTTTTGCTTCATTTACATGAACAAGGACCCCACCAATGGCTACTACAGTGTCAACACCTTCAACGAGAACCAACCCACCCCCACTATGGCCCTGGCCCAGAGCCAGACTCCCGACTTAGTCCGAAGCCCCCCTGTTGGAACTATGACCTTGGGCAAGCAGCGGGTGCCCACCGGCATGTCCTTCACCAACATCTACAACACCCTGGGGGCCACGCCCAACCGCCTGTACGACTACAGCCAGCGTTTCGTCCTGGGCATGGGCAGCAGCTCCATCGAACTGTGCGAGCGGGAGTTCCAGCGCAGCTCCCTGAGCGACTCCAGCTCCTTCATCGACACGCAGTGTGACAGCAGCGTCAGCAGCTACAGCAAGCAGGAAGGCTACGTGCAGTTTGACAAGGACAGCAAAACCTCCGCCTCGTCCTCCTCCCACTACTCCCAGTCCTCCTCTCAGAACTCAGACCTCACCAGGCCTCTGCAGAAACGCATGCAGACCCACGTCTAACCGTTTTTGGGGGCTTGAACAGGATGATGAGGATGGAAGTGATGTTCCAAAGAGCCATTTTACCTACACAGATGAAGGGTGTTGTTCCAGTGCTCAATTGGTATTACACCAGTGGGACATAATGTGAATTGTAGATGCCAACTTTTGACTTGATGAACCTGCTGGAATCAAAGTGCGATTTCTTATTATGAGCCATCAACAAAAAAAAATATTGACAATCATTTGTCTGTTTTTCTGCTCATAAGAAAAAAATCTGCAGCTTGCTGCAGTTCTCATTTTCTTTCATTCCACAGACTACCTGAACATAAGCACCTAGGGGCAGCGGTATTGTTGGACAAAAAACTAAAAGAAGTAACAAGCAAGTTTTTTTTATTAATGAGAAAACTCTGGGTGTTGTGAGCTCAGCTGCTGTATTGTTAAAATCAGAAAATGGCTTTTCTTCTGAGTACCTTGGAAGGAAAAAAAGGATATGAGCTGGCACAGCAGTAAAACCTGTTATATGTCACTCATTTCCTGTACATCAGTTACCACAACAACCACGGTTATTGCTAGCTGTATTAGAAATGGATTCCTCTTTTGTAAATGTCCTGTACATTGTTTTAGCTCTTTAACGGCTACTATTTTTCAGACATTGTGATATTTTCCTTGCCTTTCAGTGTATGCTATGCGATGGATAATTTATCATCAACTGATCACAGAATGCATGGAGAAATGGACATGTCATCTTTCTCAAACACACGAAGGCAACTCCCCCCGCCCTCCCCTCTTGCCTCCTAAAAGACCGTAAGATGTTTACAAGTGTAGTAAAAGGGTATTGAGGTCTGTAATTTTCCCATTTAATGTGAGACACTTGCAGTTTGTGTGTGTGCTGTATCTCTGGGAAGCACTTTCTAGCTGCCAGAGCAGGTTTGTCACGTCCATTCATTTGCTGATATTGTGTTGTTTACACTAGAGCTCTGTAAAACCCAGCATTTTGTGTACTGTGTTTTGACTACCGAATGACAAAGGGGAAAGATACATTGAGATTCTTGCCAACTGACATTTCTGATCTTCTGGGGACTTTGATGCCTGCTGTTTTAAGTGAGGCAGAATGCTAGAGCTGGACGCTAAATGCTAATATACCTTTGAAGGCTGACAATGAGACTGCTGCACTCAAGAACAATGAAAAAAGGATGTGCAAACTCATGTACGACCAGAAACATCAATATTTCAATGAAGAAATTAATACAAGTCTGTCTGGAATAATTGTGAGTGCCTGGGCATTTTAATAGGCTATCAGTCAAAGCAGCCACTCAATAGAGCGGGGCAGTGATTTTTGTAGGCCGACCCCAAAGTTAGCATCTCAAGGTCTCCCACGATAAATCTATTGTATTTTGGAATATTGCGGAAATAAAATCTGTGGTTTTGGTTCTCTTGTTCAGCCGGATAATCTCCAAATATGGACACTGCTTTATATTTTTGAAGCTTAAATGTAATCAACAGATGTGAAAGCTAACGGCTATAAGCAAACTACATTACATTCCCATGGCTGCGCATAATCTCTTAATCTACTGTAAACCACAGACCTTATTTCATACATCCAGCTAAAAACATGTTAAAATAATGTGGACTTTGAGACGAGGGAGCCGTAAAAAGGCAAAAAAATGTATTTCTGCACCACTTTCTGAAATCATGCTGTTACCATAGACTGTATCTGGCTGATACAAATGAAGGGAAACTTCAGCGTGACACAGCATAGAAACAGGCAAACAAGAAGGTTAAATATTGTCAGTAATCAATGTACATGGAGTAAAGAAAGCACAAAATAGTACATTGCATTTCCACTCATGATCTACCAATGAATATAACAGAAAAGCATGGGTTGATGTACTAAGTTGTACTAAGCACTTAAACAATAAATGTATTCGGCTCACTCTTACTGTGTGATACAATGAACCTTACATTTGGGGATTTATGTTGTGAACATACATTACTGTACAGAAAGAAATATGTTGTGCCAACATTGTGTTTTGATTAAAGAACATTAAATATACCTCAATGCTACTTCAATGTATGTGTTTTTGTTTGTCAATGTGAAATACTTGGGAATGATCGACCTCTCATCCGTGGCTTTAACATCTCATCCTTCTTTCCTCTCTCTGTATTCACGGCCTGTCCTTTTCTCTGAGACTCCTCACTTGTTGTGTTGACAGCACAGGGACATCATGCTAATGCTATCCAGAACCTGCTCTTCCTCTCTCATCTCTATCACCTTCTCTCTTTATTTTCTCTGTCTCCTCATTGTGTCCCATATGTCTTTCTTTTCCACAGGTGAACTTTGATCGATGGTGTATTTCCACTTTTGTATACATACATAGACATGAATATTAACCAGTAATAAGCTAATTGCACAAAATAATATTTATAACTTAACAGCAGCAAAGAGTGCGATAAAACGTTCTCTTGGTTCTTGACTGCATATCGTCTGATGTGAGTGTTAAATATTTTTGGATAAATCTGACAATTTTGTCTGTGGTCTTCCATGTTTTAATACATAATTTAAGATTAGAATATATTTTAGTTTGCAGCAATAATTATCTCATTGTTTTAATTATTATTAATATTGTTATGATTGATCTTGTTATACGTAATATGTTATTGTTTGTATTATTATTGCTTTAAGTGTTTGCTAGTGGCCATCAGGAGGCTTAGTAATTACTACAAACTCTAAAATACTGCTCAACTATATTGGTAGGGAGCAGTTGACATAACTGCATTATGTTGTTTTCCTATTTGTAGATGACTATGTAGAGTATCCATCTTACCAAGCTTTGGTTACTTTTGTCACATGAAGCCCACACAGCAATCTGGGGAATTTCAATGGAGAACCACAGACATGCGATTTTATCCTAATTTTCTAAATGTTTTCTCATTGGCAAAACACAAATGCTCAGCTCTAAAGCTGTTTAAATGTGTTTCTCTTATACCTGAAGTTCTTTGTTGGTGAATGAGAAGTACAGCCTTCAAAAACTGTTGCTTTGCTCAAACTTAAAAAATATGTGTCAAGTGGTTCCAAGCCATTTTAAGAGTTTAGTCAACTTTTGTATTTTTTGAGTTGGTGAAACGTACTTATTTTTTGTTTTCCTCTACTCAATAATGTGTTATTTTGCTAAAACTTAAAAAATATGTGTCAAGTGGTTCCAAGCAATTTTAGGAGTTGGGTAAACTCACTAATGTGATTTTGTCTGCTTGTGAAAAGATGAGTTGAGCCTTCAATTAAAAGCCAAGATATTAAGTGTAACCAATGCAAATAGCAATCTGCTAAGAACCACATAAGACAAGAATAAATAATGTAAATTATAAAACACAATTGAGTTGCCGGAACCTATATGCGACAAACTCTTCCTGATTTCAATCTAACCCTTTAAATATTTGATAGCATCGAAACATTGCAGATTAAACAAATAAATAAAAAAGGGAACGTTATGGACATGTTAATACATTTTATTAAAATGTGATTATTTCAAAACAGTTTTCATAAAACAGTAACAAGTTTGTTTAAAACACATTAACAACACATTAACATACATGGACACATGGTTATTACTTGATGGTTATAACTGCGGCAATGTATAACTTCATGCCGTGCATCACAAGCTTGTTGCACTTAGACCTCTGCTGTTCCCTGTAAATACAAACAAAACACTAAACTGAGTACAAATCAGGACACACCATGTGTTTTCCTCAAAACAAAAATCAAATCCGTCTTGAAAACATAACGAGCCAGTTTACATTAGCTGTTAACAGACGGTAACAGAGGTGCTATTCACATGCATTACAAGGGGTTTAAGTCATCAAAAAAGGCTGGTTTGCAAGAAAATGAACCAAATAGTCATGATATTGATACAGTTCATAAAATGTCCAACTACTTATTTTTAACCCCACCTCATGCTCAGAGATGTATATAAAGTGGCACATGGGTCCTAGAATAAATAAGAACAGACGATTATTTCAACTGTTATCTTGATAAGTGAAAGCGCAGGCCAGTCTACATGAACGCAGGGCAAGGCACGTTTCTGTCCAAAGGTTCCATGATGGAGTCGATAATGTTTTAAAATATCACTTTGAGTGGTGACACTAGTGCTGCATAGTTTTCATCTCTATCCCATCTCTGATTCAAAAAATAGAAATAGCTACGTTTACCTGATGCTCTTTATATTAGTATGTAAACTTAACACGTCTTGAATTAACCTCTGAAACAACAACTAGTCTGACACACTCAAGGGCTTACCTGATGTGAACCTGAAGTCCATAGCAGGGGGCAAAATGTCTTCAAGAGGAGGTGTGACTGTTTTCTGGTGAGGCAAACAAAAGAACAAAACAGTTACATGATGACAATGTAACAATCATTTCAGTAGAATTTATTAAAACATATTTAATTCAATTAATGGAATCAAACATTAAAACACAAGTATAATTTAAAACGGTATTGTATTTATATACATTTATAAGGATGGCATTTATTAAGGATGGTATTGTTAGATACCAGTACAATTCCATGATTCTCTACACAGCAGATCCTAATTACTTCAATATATATACTCCTTTATCTCGTTTGCATACTGTCTAATATCTACTTTATATTAGGGTAAAACATCTCCTTAATAAAACTGTATTTATTGATATTTCTCGCTGAAGACTGCATTTTACTGGACTATATTGAACACATCTTGCTGACGTTATAAATGCATCCTCGCCCAATACACACTTTTACTGAATTGCGCCTGATTGCGCCTGACTGAAGTCACCTCTGTCACTGGCTACTGAGAGCTAACGTTAACTCTCCTGCAGATTCCAACATGGATTTGCACCTATAGCGTTGCATAAGCATGACAAATATAGTTTGCACTTAATTTTGTATAATAACAACTCGATGCTGTAACTGCAGACTATGAGTTTAAATTGGGTACACATCTAAGATTGTAGAAAGATAATTCATTGCTCACAGTAAAACGTTTCAAACGGCGAAACACATACAGAGGAATTCATATCAAATAGGCGCATTAGTAACTTACTCTTACATAACCGCTGTGTTATAAAGTAGTAGGGAATAGTTTTAGCGGAGGTATTTTACCGCACAACATGCACGGCAGGAGAGCCTCTGAGCCCTGCGGCCGCATCACGGTGCCCGGCCAACGCTTAGAGCAGCACAGGGGAACAGTTGATTCTTAATATGTACTCTTAACTTAAAGTGGACCTATTATGCTATATTTGAATAATATATTGTAGGGCCATACCTATATAAAACATGTCTGTGAAGTTTCTTTTTCAAAATACCAAACAGATCATGCATTTTAGCCATGCCTCATTTCGCTCTATTTGCTCTTTTCCAGCCCTGTTTTTGTAAGGGCTGATTCTGCTTTTGTGGCAGACTACAGCGCCACTTACAGGCCTGGCATATGTACTACAGCATCTCCAGCGCTTTCGAGCGGTCTCTCATTCCCCTGATAGGTGGAGAGTTGCCCATATAGGCGGAGCACCCCTTTTCTGACATCAGAACAATTCAAATAATAATCAGATCCGTTGCAGCCCCGTTTTTAGAGATTTGGGTACGGAGGAAAAGAGAGAGGGTTGTGTTTTCTGACACTTGGTGAGTTCCCTGACACACCGGGGACACATATTCATGTATAAAAGACCTACAAAAGTGCATTTTGCATGATAGGTCCCCTTTAACCACTTTTAACAGAATTGCGTTGGTAAGCACTTGATGCAAACTTTGCCCAATACCATTTGCACGAAAAAATAGACTACATGAGCACAACAGGGCTGAGTCTAACTTTAACAGCAGTAACGGCGCTGGCATGCATTAAAATGTCGATGTTCCGTTCAAAACAGTGAATACAAGAAAAGTAAATAATACTTGCTAAAGCAGTAAAAGCACTAAAAAGCAGTAATTAATAACTCAGGTGGCATGCTTACTTGTTTTACGATGGTTTGAAGAGGATCCAACGCAAACACGTGTCCAACTGCTGAAGAATCGCTGCAAAGAGGAACAGGAAGTCTCACACTGCGGTATTTTCGTTTGAGGGCGTGCCATGACCGTGGCGTTGACAAAAACATTTTTTTTATGAACGTATTTATCAGAAAGTTCAGAAAATGTGATATTAATTTACAAATTAATGAGTTCTTAAAACATGTTCTCATTGTTACTTAAGTGTTACTTATTTAAACGCACATTGAAAAAAAACTAATTTAGGGGGAAGTAAATTACATTAAAAAATTGTGTTTTGTTTGCTGTTTTTACAGTGTTGTTAGAGCCTTTGTTTACAAGGCATCTAAAACCTGTTGTTTTATACTATCCGGATGTTGTACCTCTTCCTGCTGTTATCTTGGTTGCCAGACATGCTTTGTGAGATTGCGTCTTGGATCCTGAGAATCAGCAGGTGGAATAATGTTCAACACAAACATGCATTTAGAGAGGCTCCGTTGAGCTTCTCTGTGTGTCTGTGCCAGCTTCTTGTGTGTGATAAAGGGCGGCAAAACACATCAATGGATAAACAGTCGTGCACAGTATGTGGCTACAAAATACAGACTTTGACATGCAACTCAACATTTCCTCGGCTGCTCTGCTGATGTTTAAATTCTGCCATACTGTGGATCAGTTTAAGACTGAGCGTGGCGTCTTGTTTTTTTATCACACAACAACATCCTACAAATAATACCTTAAGCTGACGGGAGAATACTTGCCTCACAGTAAAACTTATTTTTTACACCTGCACATCTGTTGTTGATTGTGAAGGGATTTATCAGGAGGAACTTAAGTCTGACTCACCGGATGGAGAGTGTGGGTATAAGTCTGTTGCAGAGAAAATCATGCGGATTTCTTCTACCCTTCCACTATCTGTGTGTCTCTGTTTTGCATGTGCACCATCGCTGTTTTACCCCCTGTAGTAGAATGATAATGGGAGCAGCGCAAACATAAGTTATTGTCATTCAAGACCAGGGAGAACTTAAGAAAAACATAATTTGAGGCCTCTCTTTTGGGGAGTGTTCCTTGTCTACTG